GGAGTGCTGTGTGCTCTCCGCAAGCTCGTCCTCCTCCTCCTCCTCCTCCCCGTCCGCAGAATCCTCAGGTGTAGCTGATGAGATTACCCCCTCCTCGGAATCCACGGTCAGAGGTGGGATAGTGGTGGGCGGCCCCTCCTAGAACTGCATGCAGCTCGGCATAGAAGCGGCATGTCCGCGGCTCTGACCCGGAGTGACCGTTTGCCTCCTTTGTTTTTTGATAGGCTTGTCTGAGCTCCTTGACTTTCATGCGGCACTGATCTGAGTCCCTATTGTGGCCTCTCTCCATCATGCCCTTGGAGAGTTTTTCAAAAGTTTTGGCATTTCGGCTTTTCGAATGAAGTTCTGCTAGCACTGAATCCTCTCCCCATATAGCGATCAGATCCAGTACCTCCCGTACGGTCCATGTTGATGCTCTTTTTCGATTATCGGCCTGCATGGTTACCTGTGCTGATGAGCTCTCTGTGGTCACCTGTGCTCTCCTGTGCTGGGCAAACAGGAAATTAAATTCAAATGTTCATGTGGCTTTTCCTGTCTACCTGGCCAGTGCATCCGAGTTCAGATTGCTGTCCAGAGTGGTCACAATGATGCACTGTGGGATAGCTCCCGGAGGCCAATACCATCGAATTGCGGCCACACTAACCCTAATTCGAAATGACAATATTGATTTTGGCGCTACTCCGCTCGTCGAGGTGGAGTACAGAAATCGATTTTAAGAGCCCTTTATTTCGAAATAAATGGCTTCGTTGTGTGGACGGGTGCAGGGTTAATTCGATTTAACGCTGCTAAATCCGAATTAAAGTCCTAGTGCTTGTGGCTTGCCATTAGATTTAACTATCCATTCAAATGATTAAAGCATAAAGAGGCAGTAGCCTTTTGCCTCCTCAAAGCATCTTTTCTCTTGAACATGCCGGCCATGGCTTGTTTGGAGAAGAGATCAGAGTGGCTTGCTGCAATGTTTGCTAAGTACTGGGTAGTTTCTGTGTTTGTACATATGTAATTAACTCAGATTGTCTAGGAAACACAGCAAAATGCTAGTGTTCAAGTGCAATTAGTGACTCAGCCTTGCCACTGCAAAGCCAGGCTTCCTTCCTTCCTTCCTAGCTGATTTGTAGCATTGAGGAGCCATAGAGTCGGAGCCCCTGGTAATGATCCGGCCATTGGGCCCTGAAATGGTGGGATTGCTGAGCCTGAAAGGGCTAAGCAGCTGGGCTGCCTCTGCTGCAAGGGACTCTGGGGACATCTCTAAAGAGAGCCTGCCCCCCACTCCACACACACACCACGCGCCCCAGGCTCTGAGTGCGCCCCCTAGCTCTGTGACAGGCACAGTGTGCCTGAGGAAGGGGTGGGCTGCAAGAGGGGCATTCTCCTTGTAGCAGCTGCTGCTTGAACTAGGGCACTCTTGCTTCGGATGCTAAGGTCCCGTGTTTGCTGCCTGAGAGGACCAATCCAGGGTTCGCTGCACAGAGGTGATTATGCAGAGAGCACTTTCACAGCTGAGAGCGTAGGCATGTTTGATAGTTAACTATACTACAGTTCATACTTGCGCTTGAACCGTTGTTCGGCAGTTTCCAGGAGAGGGACTGGAGGCGAAAACGCTGGTTCCAGTCCCCGTCAGGACGGTCTTAAATATTCCTCGGGAAATGATGGCAGTGACCCAATTGGCTTGATACAACAGTGTCACTCCAGAGTTCGGCCCATGACTGCAGGATACACCCGTATATTTCTGTGGCTCATCGCTCTCCTATCTGAGCAGTTTATAACACTTATAAAGTTTTATACCCCTTAATCTCTTACCTTGTTTGCTTAACATGAGAGTTTATTACTTCCGTTGTTGATACAGGAATACAGTGAGAGCTCTGGTTAGAAGAGCTAATGTAATTCCACAGCCATAACTTGATTGCAGTCCTCCTTCCCTCTGCCTCTGCTTACCAGAGAGCAAGACAATGCAGGTGCTCTGTAGCTGCTTTCTAGAGGGTTCATTTCAAAAGGCAAGCAGGAGGGGAGATTATCAGGGGAGCAGGATAGACTCTCTTAGGTGATAAATATGTGGGCCTCTGGGAACTTCGTCCTGAGAGATTTGGTAGTTTAAAGCCTAGGAACTAGACATTGCTTTTCTCTCTCCTAGGGTGCTGTTCTCTATGGTGTCGGCAGTATGATTTCCTCCTCGGGATGGTGTTATGGGGGTTGAATGGCAATTTGAGGAAGTATTTTATCGCATGTAGCACATTCACATACAAGCATGTTTAAAATTAAAATGCTGCTGGGGGATTTTATCCACTTTGCCTCTCTTTCAGTCTGTGTGCATTCCCAGGATTGTTGTATTGTTTGGATTCACAGTAATGTTGAGCTGAGATCCCTGTTAAAGTTCTTTGACATGTTCTGCATGTCGTTGGGTAGCTCTGGAACCACAGCCTTCACTCGGCCTGTCTCGAGACACTTACCTTTTCTCTCTCAAGAACAGAGGGCACCCAATGAATCTGAAAGGCAACAAACTTTAAAACTGAGCAAAGGAAATGAATGTTTACACAACCAATGGAACTCATTGCCACAAGATATCCCTGAGGCCAAGGGCTTAGGAGATAAAGAATGATTAGACACTGGTGGATGTTCTCATCTACTATTAATTGTTTTTTAAATCCTGTGTAAATAAGGGATATAAACTCTCATACTTCAGAGCACAAATCAGTCGCTAACTGCCTGAAGCGAAGATGAAATTTTCCCCATAGGTAGGTAATTGTCCATGAATGGGTTATTGCGTAATCTCTGAAACATCTGGTACTGGCCAGTTTAGCAGCCAGCATGCTGAACTAGATGGAGCATAGGTTTGATTCAGGCTGGCATTTCTATGTTCAATAAGGACAAATGCAAAGTACTCCAGTTAGGAAGGAACAATCAGTTGTACACATACAAAATGGGAAATGACTGCCTAGGAAGGAGTACTGCGGAAAGGGATCTGGGGGTCATAGTGGATCACAAGCTAAATATGAGTCAGTAGTGTAATGCTGTTGCAAAAAAATGAACATCATTCTGGGATGTATTAGCAGGAGCGTTGTAAGCAAAACACGAGCAGTAATTCTTCTGCTCTACTCTGTGCTGATTAGGTCTTAACTGGAGTATTGTGTCCAGTTCTGGGCACCCCACTTCAGGAAAGATGTGGACAAATTGGAGAAAGTCCAGAGAAGAGCAACAGAAATGATTAAAGGTCTAGAAAACATGACCTATGAGGGAAGACTGAAAAAATTGGGTTTGTTTTAGTCTGGAGAAGAGAAGACTGAGAGGAGACATAACAGTTTTCAAGTATGTAAAAGTTTGTTAGAAGGAGGAGGGAGGTAAATTGTTCTCAACCACTGAGGATAGGACAAGAAGCAGTGGGCTTAAATTGCAGCAAGGGCGGTTTAGGTTGGACATTAGGAAAAGCTTCCTAACTGTCAGAGTGGTTAAGCACTGGCATAAATTGCCTAGGGAGGTTGTGGAATCTCCATCATTGGAGATTAAGAGCAGGTTAGACAAACACCTGTCAGGGATGGTCTGGTAATACTTAATCCTGCCATGAGTGCAGGGGACTGGACTAGATGACCTCTCATAGGACTGGAAGTGACCCAATTCTGTGATTCTGTGTTGTTAATTACTGTTTAAGCCTTTAATTTCCTAGGCCAGTTGAAAGTCATGGGTAAGAGTCCTACCTGGCACTTGCAGGTCTGTTTTTGCAGGTTGCATCCCTTTTTGCTCAGTCTTATGCAAAACCAGGCTGTAGTCACATGGTGTTGTGAGTCTTTAATTTCACTGGAATTCTGGATTCATTCAATGTCAGTCATTTACTGGTCAAAGAATTGGGTAGGTAGGAGAGGCAGAAAACTTCCCACTCCAGATTCCCTAGTTGAAGCGACCACAGGGAAGGGTTTGCAGAATTCGCAGCTTTTAAATCAATAAACTCTTCTCTTTTAAGAGTTTAGAAACTAATGAACTGAAAGTTGGAGTGTGCAGGATGAAAGTCATGTAACGTGAGCCAGAGTCCTCAGCAGAATGACTGCTTCCTTCACACCACCTAAATCTCTGACCTGCCCAGGCAGCTGAAATTTAGAAATTAATGTAGATATCCCATCTCCTAGAACTGGAAGGGACCTTGAAAAGTCATCGAGTCCAGCCCCCTGCCTTCACTAGCAGGACCAAGTACTGATTTTGCCCCAGATCCCCAAGTGGCCCCCTCAGGGATTGAACTCACAACCCTGGGTTTAGCAGGCCAATGCTCAAACCACTGAGCTGTCCCTCCCCCCCTGGGGGGCACTGGCATCAGATCTAGGCCTCGCCTTCTCGGGGTTGGCAGATGTTCTGGTTATTAACAAGTACCTGGGTTCATTTATTCTTTGCATCCTCTTTTTCTCTGTATTGAAAGCCATGTTTGTTCTTCTCTGGTCACTATACCCTAACCTATTTTGACCATATTGAGTTAATTATCTTTATTACATGCTGCTTTTTTTCTCGGTTCTTAAACTGCATCATGGAGCTAATTATTTAGTGCGTTTGCCTAGAAGATCTGGCTAGAACATCCAGCCCTACCTCTAACATCAAGGCAGAGTGCTTTATCCACTTAATGAGATAATTCTTCCTGCAGGTCCAGTGACCGTATTTCACCACCTGTCGTATGGGGGAGGGGAGTTAATGATTGATTCAAGAGATTTCCCTGTGCACACAGACGAGGTTGTTTAACCAGCCATGAAGCCAGAAAGGGGAACGCAAGACTTGCCTTGCTGCTGGGTTTCAGATTGAGTTGGATTTTGGTAGGGAGGGCCTTGGCTTCCTTCTCTCACAGGCTTTATCACTTCCGTGTTTGAGAGCAAGGAATGAAGTGCTGCTGTCATTGTAGTAATGAGTTGTCACTGTTCTCAGTTGTTGCTGGGCCAGAGTGGCAGGAGAACACTGTTGGTGGCTGCTAGAAGATGAAACCCTGGGACTGTACCTGACCTTTGCTTGGTTTGGTTTGCTCTGTCTTCTCTCAGGCCTTACTGAAAATAGACTGCCAGGGGCTGGTCGTGAGGCTCATTCAGGACTTTGTGCTCCTGACCACAGCCGTGGAAGTGGCTCAGCGCTGGAGGGAGCTGGCAGAGAAGCTAGCCAAGGTCTCCAAACAACAGATGGACGCCTATGAAGCCCCCCACCGAGACAGGAATGGAGCGGTAGACAGTGAGGTGAGACTAGATTTGACAATCCCTTAAAGCATGACGCATTGTGCAATGGTCTGGAAGCAAACACTTGAGGGCTGATTTCGGCTGCCTTTTGGGTTTTTTGGCTGAGGTGTCAGCAAATAAGAGCGCTTCTTTGGCGATGGCAAGCCAGAGCAAGGTTCCTTCCCATTGGGAGATGTGAGTGCCTGAAAGTGGCCCGTAGAGGAGAAGCTCCATTGATCTTTGAGTCTGAGAAGCTGCCTGCAGGGGGAGCGAGTGTTTCATCATTTTCACAATTGTCCAATTTTCCCTTTCTGAAAGGGGGACAAATCCGTGTGTTCCTGCTGACAGCTCGTGATTGACACACTTCCCCCCCGCACACACACCTACCTCTATGGGAGTGGAGCAATGAGCCTGCCAGTGTAGGCTCGGTACTCACATCTCATGGGGTGGTTTTGGTTTGGGGTGGGCTGGACGCTGGTCAGTTTCAATCATCTCTCTGCTGTTCCTTTAAAAATAAGTAGCACCTCTCAATGACTGACTGAAATCCTGGGGCCCTTTCGCTTTGAATAACTGTTTGTCCCACCCTCTGATACTGCCCCCTGGCTTGAGTTGAGGTTTTTCCCCAAACCAGTGGCTCTTGTGGGGTTCATTGTTCATGTTCTGTTAGGGGAAATAGGGACCAGTGCTCTGGACTGAGATCTGACCACTGCAGGGCTCCAGCAGTCGTTCTCTTCCCCCATGGGTCCAGCTTTGCACAGCGTAGCTGGGCGTGCTACAAGGTTGTGGCAGCAGGGTCGCCTTGCTATAAAGCATCAGGAGCTGATGAGCAAACAGCCCGAATCTGGACCTGATTCAGCAAAGCACATGCTTGAGCCTCACTGAAGTTGATGGCATTTAAACTAGGGCTGTCGATTAGTTAACTCACGCGATTAACTCAAAAAAATTGATTGCCATTTTAATCGCATTGTTAAACAATAGAATACAAAGTATACAGTGCTCACTTTATATTATTATTATTATTACAAATATTTGCACTGTAAAAATGATAAACAAAAGAAATAGTATTTTTCAGTTCATCTCATACATAGTGCAATCTCTTTGTCGTGAAAGTGCAAATTACAAATGTAGATTTTTGTTGTTGTTACATAACTGCACTCAAAACAATGCAAAACTTTACAGCCTACAAGTCCACTCAGTCCTACTTCTTGTTCAGCCAATCGCTCAGACAAACAAGTTTGTTTACATTTACGGGACATAATGCTACCTGCTTCTTATTTACAATGGCACTTTTGTAGCTAGCATTGCAAGGTATTTATGTGCCAGATATGCTAAACATTCATACGTCCCTTCATGCTTTGGCCACCATTCCAGAGGACATGCTTCCATGTTAATGATGCTCATTAAAAAAAATGTGTTAATTAAATTTGTGACTGAACTCCTTGGGGGAGAATTGTATGTTCCCTGCTCTGTTTTACTCACATTCTGCCATATATTTCCTGTTATGGCAGTCTCAGATGATGACTCTGCACATCTTCATTTTAAGAACACTTTCACTGCAGATTTCACAAAAGGGCAAAGAAGGTACCAATGTGAGATTTCTAAAGATAGCTACAGTGCTTGACCCAAGGTTTAAGAATCAGAAGTGCCTTCCAAAATCTGAGAGGGACGAGGTGTGGAGCATGCTTTCACAAGTCTTAAAAGAGCAGCACTCCAGCGCTGAAACTACAGAACACGAACCAGATGATGAAAGAGAACATGCGTCGGTCTGCACTGTTTGGATCATTATCTAGCAGAACCCCTTATTAGCATGGATGCATGCCCTCTAGAATGGTGATTGAAGTATGAAGGGACATATGAATCTTTAGCGAATCTGGCATGTAAATATCTTATGATGCCGGCTACAACAGTGCCATGCGAACACCTGTTCTCACTTTCTGGTGACATTGTAAACAAGAAGTGGGCAGCATTATCTCCTCGAAATGTAAACAAACTTGTTTGTCTGAGTGACTGACTGAACAAGAAGTAGGACTGAGTGGACATTTTTAGACTGTAAAGTTTTGCATTGTTTTATTTTTGAATGCAGTTATTTTATGTACATAATTCTACATTTGTAAGTTCAACTTTCATGATAAAGAGATTGTATTGCAGTACATGTATGAGGTGAATTCTTTTGTTTTAATAGCACAAATATTTGTAATAAAAATAAATATAAAGTGAGCACTGTACACTTTGTGTTCTGTTGTAATTGAAATCAATATATTTGAAAATGTAGAAAACATCCAAAAATATTTAAATAAATGGTATTCTAATATTAAGTGTGATTAATCACTTTAATTGCTTGACAGCCCTAATTTAAACACTTGCTCAAAGCTGAACGTGTGCAAGTCCCTTGCTGAATATGTAGGGCCCTATCAAATTCAAGGCTATGAAAAACGCGTCACAGACCGTGAAATCTGGTCTTTTGCGTGTTTTTTACCCTATGCTATACAGATTTCACGGGGGAGACCAGCGTTTCTCAAATTGGGAGTTCTGACCCAAAAGGGAGTTGCAAAGGGTCACAAGGTTATTGGGGGGGGGGGGAGGGAGGGGAAAGAGCGGTATTGCCACCCTTCTGCGCTGCTGCCTTCTGACCTAGGTGGCCAGAGAGTGGCGGCTGCTGACTGAGGGCCCAGCTCTGCAGGCAGCAGCGCAGAAGTAAGGGTGGCAAGACCATACCATGCCATCCTTACTTCTACGTTGCTGCTGGCAGTGGCTCTGCCTTCAGAGCTGGGCTCCCAGCCTGCACCCACTGCTCTCCAGCTGTCCAGCTCTGAAGGCAGCGCCACACCACCAGCAGTGCAGAAGTAAGGGTAGCAGTTCCACAACCCCACCCCCCACACACACTAACCTTGCGACCTCCCCCACCCCACAACTCATTTTAGGGTCAGGACCCCTACAATTACAACCTGGTGAAATTTCAGATTTAAATAGCTGAAATCATGAAATTTACAATTTTTAAAATCCCATCACTGTGAAATTGACCAAAATGGACCACGAATTTGGTAAGGCCCTATGAATAGGGATGGATGCAAGCACTTTGCTGAAGTGGGGCCTGAATGGGCAGATATCGCTCCAGTGTTGTGTGTTCTCCAAAGCATTCAGTTGGACCAGAGCCTGTTCTGGTGTTAGAGTAGCAGCCGTGTTAGTCTGTATCTGCAAAAAGAACAGGAGTACTTGTGGCACCTTAGAGACTAACAAATTTATTAGAGCATAAACTTTTGTGGGCTACAGCCCACTTCTTCGGATGCACATAGAATGGAACATATATTGAGGAGATAGAGATAGATATGTTCCATTCTATATGCATCCGAAGAAGTGGGCTGTAGCCCACGAAAGCTTATGCTCTAATAAATTTGTTAGTCTCTAAGGTGCCACAAGTACTCCTGTTCTTTTTGTTCTGGTATTGCCATTCCTGTGGCCTGAAGCAGCCACAGAAATTCCCAGCAAACGACTACGTTTCTGTAGTAGAGCAGTGTCTAGTCTACCTAACAAGAACAGATCTCTCAATTCTGTTTGTGTTTGTTTTCTTTTTGCCTCTCCGGCATGGAACACAGGCCATGTGGAAACCAGCCTATGACTTTCTGCTAACCTGGAGCAATCAGATTGGAGATAGCTACCGAGATGTCATCCAGGAGCTGCACATAGGGCTGGATAAGATGAAAAACCCCATCACCAAGCGCTGGAAACATCTAACAGGAACCCTGATCTTAGTTAATTCCTTGGACATACTCCGTGCAGCCGCCTTTAGCCCTCCAGACCATGAAGATTTTGCTATCTGATGGCGAGGACAAAAAACAGGCAGGAGCTGACAAAAGGCCAAAGTTTGAACGTTTGCTCTGGGACTGGAATTGCACAGTGAAGCAGGACTTCTTTTGAGTGTTCTCCCTCATGTAGAAAGAGTCCAGAAGAGCTGGGTTTTCTCTGCTGAGGGGTTGATACCAGTTACACAACTTTCTATTTGTAAAGTTTAACAGTGGGTGGGGGAGAACCCAACACGTTTTTTTTAAGACATTTGCAAATAAATCTCTAATTTTTTAATGAGCAGCAAAAGTTGAAACCACTTCAATGGGAGAGTTGTTGCATTTTTATGTTGTGTAGGAACTTTTTTAAATAACTTCTGAAATTGACCATGAATCATGTAAATATGTATTTAAAACAAAGCACAGTGTGAATCTCTCCTTTCCATTCCCTCAGACCCTCCTCCCCCCCCCCACTCCTTACAAGGTTTTCTATAGTGTGAGACTCTGGAATCACTGTTTTGTATTCACCATTGCAGTAACTCTGAACCTCCTACAGTCCTGAGAAAATGTTACAAAGAAAAGTAGTTGTACTTTTTTCCCAGTAGCTCTCCATGATCTGTTTTTTTTTATATATATACTTTTTCTAATGTCTAGATCTGGAAATACACAATACCTAGTTTTCAGATGTACCACTTAAGTTCTTAACTTGAAGAGTCAGTGCTGCCTTTAGCACTCAGGCATCCCTCCTGCCTGCTGCTACAATGAGCATTCTGGAAGGAGCTGAAAAGATTTCTGGTTCAGTGGCGTTCCCTCCCCTTCTTCTTCTGCCTTTTGCTTTTTTAGGGACATTAACTACAAAGGTGCCAGTCTCATTGAAGGTAACTTTTCTCTCTACTGACTGCTCTGTACTGCAATAAGAGCATCTTGGTGATCTCTGCTGGGGACCTGCATGCTCCAGAAGCGGTCAGGAGAGAAGAGCTGTATTAGACATCATTTAAAAAAATGTCTTTACTAAGTTGGGATCTGATCCAAAACTCATTGGAGTCTGTGGGAGTTATTACGTTGACTTAGGTGCCATTTCAGTCAGCCCCTTAAAGTTTAGGGTCTGATCCAAAGCCCATTCAGGTTGGTGGTGAGACTGCCAGTGACTTCCCTGAGCTTTGGATCAGGCCCCTCAAGGCTACTGAGCTCCAGTCTGTCATGTAAATAATCCTCGCTCAGAGAAATGGTTCCACTGAGCTGAAATCTTACCCCTTCTGGGGTTCCTTCACGTGTGACATCGACTACCTTTTTTTAACAGCCTTTTGAATGATCCTCTCTCCCTCCACCTTTGAAATATTTCACACAGGGGAAAACATATTTTTGCACAGAACGAAGATGTTTATTTTGAGTGTGAAATCACATAACACAATAACAATGCCCCGTGCAATGGAAAACTGATGAAAACGTTCCCTATTAAAGCTGTTTCTGCTGGGTTGATCACTGAGATTGGAAGTCTATTTTTATTCCTTGAGCTTTATATCTACGAGCAAGAGGTTAGTGTGACCTTGCTAGAAGCATCATGGTCTTGTATCGACTGATCCATGATCACAGGTTGTCAGGAGATAATGGCACAATTCTTTTTTTTTCTCCATTGTCAAGTTCGTACCAGGCATAGGAGGCAACAGCTGGCGTCAGTCATCCATCCGTCCAGTGGGTTTGCTCTGAACCGTTTGGCTGGCTTGCATCACAGGACCATCTCATCCAATGTCTAAAATAAAAACTGCTTGATGCAGTCTGCCTGCACCCTGCGACAGGCAGACCTTAGAAGTACTCTTGTGACTTGTGTATCTGGGCAGGCACTGCCAGAATCTCCTGAGAGTAGAGCGACAAGTGAGACACGCATGGCTTCTGGGAACTCCGCTCCTCCAAAGAATGGAGACACAGTGTAATGGAGATTGTGCCTCTAATTTCCCCTCCAAATGTCACCCTGAAAGAATTTCCCTTAGAAACAAGTCTCCCACTAATGAAGAATAGCACCTTAATATCATGGATATTCTCCTCAGGGGCTTTAAGGTATTTCTTATGCAACTTATTATAGCATGGAGTTAAAACCTGGCAGACAGTAATGCTCACAGACTGGGTCCTTTTTTATTTAAAGGAACAGACCACCTTAAATATTGGGGTTTTTTCATGCACCAACCTGAACCCTACGTGGAAATGCTGGAATACCTTATGTAATGGAAGCCAAAGTTCAGTGTATTCCAAAAGCGGAGAGCAGACCTGCCTAAAGGGTTCACTCTGCCAAATGATGCCATGTGCATCAGCAGAGGGCTTGTAAGTATCTGTTCAAAGCACAGACTTGTTGCTTTCTTCAGCAAGCTGTTGGCTTTAGCTGTTTAAAAAGCCCTGATCCTGCCGGTGGGTCTGCAGAGGCCTGGGCAGAACTTGCTGAATCGCTTCAATGGGAGCTTTGCACAGGGATCTAGTTGGAGAATTAGGATCTAACCTACTGCAGATGAAGACAGTGGGGAGGCAGGGTGGCTGTATTGCTCTTACAGCAGCGTTTAATCTATCAGACAGATGCTTTAGCATCCAGGGATTCTTACAAGATGGGAAATTACTGGCTAGTTTTGTTTTCCCAGATTTTCTGACTACCTCAGGTCCTGTACGCCCAGCTGGACATTTCAACAGAAGCCGAAACCCACCATTCTTTCCCCTCCCTGAGAATCATTTTAGCCCAAACAACTGCAATGGTTCGGAATGAGTCAGCATAATCACTACGTGATTTTTTTCTCCCTCCTCCTTTAATTTAAAAATCCACCTCCTTTCACACGTTAAAATCCACGTGCCGTTCAAATGCCTTTCACCCACCACTATCAGGCCCTGCTGTGGAGCCTTGGTCTGGATGTTGCATTACTTTGGTATGTACAGCAATTGCTTATTGTACTTAACAGCTAATGTTTTTTTAAAAATCTTCGGGGGGGGAAGAAATATTACAATTAAAGTCGTTATTTGAACACTCCTGAGAGGTCTTGATATGTTCTGTTTCCTGGGAGGTTGCCTCAGTCATAGGACTGTATTGGAAACTTCTCTCTAGGTTTCCACTGGATGATCTCTTCCTCCAGCAACTGGTTGACCCATCAGCCCCGCTCCCATCCCTGGCATACCTTACAGAAACAAAATCAATATCAAGGAATTTGTCCTTGAAGCTTTGTGCCTTCATCAAGTTCTCAGCCAAGTTCTACTTCCCTCCTCAAAAGCAACTCATCAAAAACAGAGCGGGGCTGCAACTTCACAGTCAAATATCTGCATAGGTTTAATTTTTTTCCAAGCTGTAAAATCATTTGCATTCCCCCCTCCCCAGGGTGGTATTTGCATTTAAATACTAGACAAGCCTAAAATATTTTACTTTAAAAAATGAAAGGCAGTTTGGCTGAGAAATGATATATACTACAATATTTTGTGGCAGACGTTTTTATTACTCAACTGCTTCTCTTGCATTTTTCTGGCTGGAGAAAATGATCAGGTAATCATCACTGGTTGGAAGGTTCCTAAAAAGCCCCTGAGTAAGAGGAATGTGTGTGTAAAAATTCAATCAACGATAGAGCAATTCCCCAAGGTTCACCTTCTTTAGTGTTACTGGTCCAGTAGCATTGGGTGTGACATCAACGGTAGAACAGCTTCTGGTTTTTTACCTGAACAGTCAAACACCCCCTGTTTCCCAACTGTGTGTTGTAAGATGGTTAACAACAATATAAGCAAGCTTATGAGCTAAACGTGGCCAAATTTGGGCCTGGTGCAAACATTTGCAGCACCTTTTGGAGGTATGAATTGAGCTTGCACCATGTTCTGAAACTAGCCTGTGTGTTGGATTCAGCCTGCTGACCTAGACCACATGTGAGTGCACTGGGTCTGGTGATTTCATTTTACTCCTGGTTCATGCACCCGGGAAAGCCCACCTCGCCCTTTGGCACAACTCTGCATGATGGGCAGTTGTTGCTTAAGAGTCTCAGCACTGGGCCTAGGCCGCGGCGATATTCAGGAATGCTTTGTGTAGCGCCAGCCTGTTAGACCTACTTCGACAGTGTTGCCCAGTCTTGTGACTTTCAGTGTGACCCGAGTGATATTTGATGTTCTTAAAGCCCCAGCTCCTGGAGTCAGAAGATCATCTGAGAATCTCAGTTTACCTCTATTGAAATGAAAATGTCTAGTACTGAGCATTTCAGCTTCTCAGCACAAGGGGGAAATCTTGAAAATGTGACCACTACCAGCGCAAAAGCCAGCTGGCAAATTAAAAGAGCCCACAACTTTTTGTTAATCTCGCAATTTTTAAGCCAATCGTATGATTTTTTGGGGAGGCAGAGGGTGTACTGGATTCATGAGCTGGAATAGTTGGTATTGGCTTGTGGGTGTTGGCAAGGTAGAGGCAGGTATATTAATCCATCCCCTTCATCAGCATTACATTAATTCCCCAAATCCAAATGCTGCAAATGGAAGGTTTGCAAAGCCGCAGCTCAGGGAAATGTTTGTAAGAAGATCCTGGGTGTTGTGCCCAGCGCTGTTTGGCTGACCCTTCCTTGGCCTTGGCTTTCAGAGGGAATGTGCCTTCGGAGAGCGAGCGGGACCTCAGCAAAACTGAATAGCCCTGGACCACAGGAAAACTCACCCAGGCCATTCAAAAGAGCCGTGGGCTCAGAGTCTGCACAATGCACTAGTATGTTATAAAGCCCAGATTTTCAGTGGTAATCGTGTTCGTACATCTGTCCCACGATCACGGATAGCTGGATGGGGAGGAGGGGTGTGCATTGGGTATATTCACTGTGGCTTGGAAGTCTGGCCCTACAGCATTGGATGACTTAACATGTTGCTTCTTTGGCAGCTCCGCTCCCTGTGAGGGTCACTCGGGAGGTTTTACTGATTTTCCCCCTGCAGAGCCCAGGCGGCTCAGGGAGAGAGTCTGATCCTCTGTGTGTCTCACCAGCTGTTCGCTAAGCTCCACTCCCTCCCTCCGGTGGAGCACCGCAATGCCCGGGGCTTGCACAGATGCAATAGGCATAATCATTATTCCTCCTATTTTAGGAGGCTCTCTCCTAAGTGAATGTGTCTCGGCACAGGAGAGCATTGTGACAATAGGCATTATCATTATTACTGGGGAGTAGAATGACCATATGTCCCATTTTGGCCAGGACAGTCCCTTTTTTAGTCTGTGTCCCAGCCGTCCCAACTTTTTTGACAAAACTGGGCATTTGTCCCATTTGCTCTTTCCAACTGATGTGGGGTGGGACCCCTAGCGGGGCCCAGAGGGATGGGGGGCATAGCGAGTGGCAACACTAGCCCTGCGCTGGAGGAAGAGCAGCTTGGGCAAGCCAGCCCGCCCGGTGCGGGCAGGTGGCAAGGGGGCTCGGACTACCAGCCCTGCTGGCAGGATGAAAGGGGACCGCGGGGAAAGGAGGGGGCTCGTTGGCAGCAGGGTGGCTTGGAGGACCAGTCCCCCATGTGGTGAGGGGGGCTCAGGCCAGCCCCATGTGCCAGTTACGAGGGGGACCTCAGGCTAGCCCTGGGTGGGTTGGAGGCTGGAGGGCTCGGGTAGTCTGGGGGCTGAGGCTGGCCCAGGGGGAGGGGGACTTCAACCCAGTCCTGCGTGGATAGGAGATAGGGAGGGCTTGGGCCAGCCCCGTGCAGGGCGGGGAGGAGCTCAGGCCAGCCCAGGGGTATCCCGTTTTCCCTTTGGGAAAATATGATCACCCTACCGGGGAGGTAAGAGGGAAAGCAGCTAACTAGAGGTTATAGGAGGTCAGATTACATGACAGTGGTCCCTTCTGGCCTTGGAATCTAGGAATAAACAAGAACCTGAGAAAATTGGTACCGTGCCCCACCCCCAAAATACAAAGTCCTCACCCCAGAATCATCTCTTCTGTTCTGGCTGTTTTGCACCAACAACCGGCCAGCTGAGAATTCCCCTGGGGCAGGAGAGCCTTGAGTTGGCATGAAGTGATGCAGCTGGCTCTTGCACTGAGTGCCCTCCCACACCGTGGCATTGGGGCGTGCTGGGGGGAGGCAGTGGCTCACTACACCCCTTCCCAATGGGAGTCCAGTCCCTGCATAACCAGCCCTGTGTCTGCCCTAACTTGTGCCAGTGAGTGGAAGCTGGCACAGATGCACTGTGGGAATCGGGGAGGCTCTCTCTTAAGTGGCTGTGTCTTGGCACAGGAGAGCATTGTGACATGTTTGATATCAAAGCCAGCCCCATGCTTCAGTCATCTTGCTTATATCGTTGGGCTTTTCCTTCTGTTGTGCCACCATCTGTGCACTCCTTGTGACTGTCTCACCCTTTATTGTTCCACCTCTCCTGAAATTCCTCTCATTATGGAGAAGGCTTGGAAACATTAATGTGGGTTCCTGTTCTGTAGCCTTACATAAAGTTCTCTGTTCCATTTGAGCTGCTTTCCGTTACGAGTTTCTCTGATTGTCTCTTATCGCTTAACTTAAAAGGAATTATTTGCTATTTTTTCCTACCTCTGGACCAATCGTAGGAGCTACACGCTACGGTTAAGGTCATCTTGGAAATGGAGTCTCACAATTTTCTCCTATGCTTAAGCCATCAAAATCAAGTGATCATCTTGCATCATTATTTTTCAGCATCTTTTCTAAATGACTAAAGAATCCATGTTGGGCCGGGGGAGAGAGAGAGAGAATTGGTCCCCATTAGGTTATCAGTGTCCCTAGAAAAGCCTACATCTCTGAAAATCTTGCCTTGTCCTCCACAGCTCCTGGCCTCTGAAAGTCCAGATTGCCATGAACATTTGAAATGAAACTCTGGAATTACGGGCGAGGATCAGAGGTCCCTTTGTGGGCTTCCACCCCATCAGTAGCTATTGCCATTTGATCTGCAGGTTATCTCATTCTGCTTGTGTAACATCAACAGACCCCGGTTGTCAGCGGGCGAGAATGAACCTGGGGCCTCTGGAGCTTAGTGCATGAGACTCTACCACATAAGCTAAAAGCCAACTGGCTCTTAGCTAAGGCTGTAGAGCAGACTCATTTTGTCTCTCTCTTAAGTGGTCTCTGTGCCACTAGATGGGACAGAACACCACAACCAGAAGGTGTGTGGGTTACACTTGCTCCGGTCCCCTTGATTCAGCTGGCTTTTGTTGTTCGCTGTTTGTGATTGAAATGCTCACTAGCCCAGTTAGCGAGATGGAATAGCTAATCTTGCCTTCCCTGTTTGTGGTGAAAGCTGTCCTTGCGAAGAAGCAGCAGCGTGTCAATCAGGATAACCCCGTTGACTTCGGGGGGCTGCTTTACAGCCGCTGGGGTCTGGCCCAGCAGGAAGCACTTACTCTGAGAGCACAGGAGAACCGGCTGTCGCAGGTGTCTTGAAAGAACTTATTTCTCCCCTTTGATTATAGTAATGCTGGAGAGTAAGCGTGAAGAGGACGTGAGCAAATTAGAAGACAGCAAAGGTTAGTTTGCTGAGTGCTGTTTTAATACAAATGTTTGTTTTAACCCGCACTCCCGTCCTGGTTGAGCGGAAAGGCCCAGCGGCTGCAGCTCCAGGCTGAAGCAGCCTTTGGTCCCACATGAGTCGTGTCAGTAACGTACTGGAGCTCAGACTGGAAGAGGGCGAGGGGGGTGGAGAATGTTTGGCTGGTGATGATATAAGCATTTTCCCCAACCAGCTGGCTTGGCCCTACTTCCAGTTTGCGGTTGGTTCTTGGCTCCGGGGGGGAGCTATAAATAAGTCCAAGCATTGTTCCACAAGGAAGTGGATGGGATTTGCAAACCTGTGTGTGGAGAGGCTTCAGCTGAACTAACCTTGTGCCTAGATAAAGACAATGGAGGTCAAGACTGGTCTTGTGGATTGAGTACAAGTCTTAGTTCAGCTCAGAGAGGTAATGGGGGGTCTAGGCATTGCGCTTGGAATATCTGCTTGTCCCTGGAACCCCCGGTGAATCAGCCGTTCATCCATCCAGCATAAATACAAGGCAGACTATGCAGCAGCATCTGGGGAGGGGAGGGGAG